AAGAAATTAATGAAATGACATGAATGCCGATCAGAATGCCCATGTAAGAACCCAGGGATCTAGTAAACCTAGCTTCTCTCGATTCCTCTGTCCTCCATAATTGAATGAAATAACGAGCTCTCCAAAGAGTTAAATCCACGAAAAAAATATTGATTATAATGATGAGAATACAGGCATTCATAAATATGTGCATTTGAAAGTGTTCCACTTTAATTTCTTCGAAATTTGTATGATTCATATTTTGTTTTTGTCATATCTTCAATGCCATCGAAGTAAACATGAACAAGATCAACGTAAGCCAGAGCTGAGGAAAGTGATTATCTCGAAAAGTAGACACCAACAGCGAAACTACAACATAGACATAACTTTCATATTTCTTTTACATTCTTTTAGTAATTGAATAAAATATCTATATCAAATTCAATTTTTTTTGGCAGTCTTACCGGAGCGTCTTTTTCTGTTTCGTCATTAATTTTGACTGTTGATGTCGTTTTTATCTTCATTGGCTTTATTATATTTTTTTGTTCACTGACAACGGCAGTATTCATCGTTGATAACATACTCAATCTGTGAATGAATACAAGCATTTCTATTCGCATATATACCTATATATTTTTCTATGGTTGAAAGAACGGACAAAGGTCATGAAAAAGGCACATTTAGAAAAAGATAAAGAGTCTCATTGGCTAGTATAATAAAACTAAGAACAATCTCGTTTTTTTTTGTCTTGTTGATGTCGACATAGATAATGTTAAGTTTGAAAGTGAAATGTGTCTTGTAAAACAGCTTAAAATGAAAATTTTCACACTTGATCAAGCAGAATATTGCATTAATTTACATGTATGACACATGATCAACATGACCAAATGATCGATATCAATAAGTTTATATATTCGAACACTTATTGTTACTTCTGTTCTATTGTTCTGCGAGTCAGCATTGCTAAATTAGAATCAATTCTATGAGATGAAGCGAGAGAAATCATACTTGATGCGTTATAAGCAGATTTTAACCCGCCATGGTTTTGTTAATTATTTTCATATATAATAGAAGGAAAGGAAAATCTAGTAGCATGAATATGAATTGTTTCATTATACAACTTCATTTAACTCTACATGAAATTTATAATATCAATTTCATGATAAAAATTTGTTGATACTATGTAACTCATCAAATTCATGAAATACACAAAAGAAAAAACCTATTATTTTTATCTGATGAAATAGATATTCAGTGCTACATAACCTAATAGGAATATTTCGGAGGTTTCCAAACTTTACTTTGTATTTCTGAAATCGATTTTGTTCATAGTCCTGCTTCGCACTGACAAGAAAGTACGTTACATAATAGTTTATAAATGGAGTATTACTCCTTTTTTGTTTTATTTCTTTGAGTGTTATGTAAGGAATGATTATGAGGAATCGTATCCAAATAAGTATTACTATCTTTTTATTTTCTTGATAGTTACAGAAGTATACAATCGTCACATCTGATTGTGTTCACGATAAGTAAAACTCGGTCTCGATTAAATTTTTTACTAGCTGAAACTCTGACTGAGATATTCGAATATTTCAATACTCGAGATCCGTGTCAAGTGTTTCATAGTCTTAATACTACTTCAATGATCTTTGTTTTACTCTATCAACATCTAACTTCGTTCGAATTATTAATAATGAGATTTTCTATCGATATAGTCGTATCTTGATTATTAAAAATTCAGATCATTTGAAACAAAGAGTCTTTCTAATGATTTTCCATATTTAGAGTGTAGGGGTGTGGATGTAGATGCTCATTTTCACGTTCAGTCACACCCACATCCTCCATACTTATTGCGAGAGAAATGGAATCTTATCTTGAAAAATCATTTTCAATCTTGACCGTCTTTTTTATTCAAATTTTTCTCAATAACGAAGACATATCATCAATATTCAGCGAAGAAAAATAGACTACTCCTTCTTTCTAGCATTGATTTCATTATGTCGACGAAATCTGGGTACATTGTCAGAAACTCTGACAAACAAACGTTTGCTTCTCCTTGATTTCCAATTGATTCATATTCTTATTGATTTTAGAACGTGAGTATGAGGCAAGAGAATACAAAGAAACATACCCACATTCAAACCTACACTCATACCTATAACGTATTCTATAGTAATTTCCGAATAGACCAAACGAAAATAATTCGATTAAAACACTTTTCAAAATTTTGCATTTACAATATTAACATGCGAATAGAAACGTCTTATCTTCTTCAAAAATGGCCAACATTCCTATTCGATAGTTTTTCGAGGCTCTTTTCTAATTTCGGTAAAAGAGCATATTAAATAGTTTATTTTGACAAACATCCCATTTGTGATAAGACTATGTTAGATAATTTTGGATTTTTTAGACAACATATTGATCAAGTGAAACAGTTGTATCAAAATATTGTTTGAACTTTTGTTTTTTTTTTCATTTTAATGAAAGTGAGGTTTTCATTGCATTTCGTGCGATTATCTGAATTAAAGGTTGAAATCAATGTATTTCAGAAAAGAAGGATATATAAAACAGAATATAACACTCGCAATTTGAACATATCAATTACTTGTCCTTTGAAGTTCTTGCAACATTCCTGGTTCTCCTTTTAAGTATGAATGAACCGTATTTTTTAATAGCGAAATTTGCACTTTCGGATTGGTTTTTATACGAAAAAGTATACATGGTGTCACAAAATTCACCTATGAAAACATAAATTATTCATGTGCAATGCATTTTAAACACATAAGCTAACTTTTTCTCTGGTGATTGGAAACCGTTTGAAGTTCTTGTTCGAGTGAAAAAAATGAACGAATACTGATAAAAGCTATCAGCTTTGGCTGAATTTTTCACAATCACCATTTTTTACGCCATAATGATTGGAATTGCCTAGTTTTTCAAAAATTCATATCTCAAAGAAACCATACTCGCGAGTTCTGAAGTATAGTGCATAAACTATTCTAATAGAGACATGTGCAGAAGCAAATTTTCCATTCATAATTCGCGAATATGATTGTATTTCGGAGTAACATCGCTAGAGACTCTGAGAAGAAAGAATTCACGAAAGATTCAATAATTCGATCACAAGACAGCAAAATTAAGAATTCCGTAGAGATTGTTTTATTCTAATGACCCGCTACTACTGAACAAAATATAGGCTCAAGACCTTTCAATCTTCTCAGATTCATCTCTCGTAAGAAGCTTTCGAAGTACGAAAAAAAGCAAATTTTTGTAGATCAGTCAACGTTCATAGATTTGACATATATCTAGGAATTTTTTTTTCATAAGAATAAAAGTTTGAAGCTGTTCACTATCACCAAAACAGAATTTCAACTGCTATGGTTAAAACACAATAGATATAATCAATCTTTCCGTTTGGTAGATGATTTCTTGGAGGGTGTGGGTATGGGTGTAGATGAAAAACTGCCACCTACACCTCACATCCACACCGATACCCACACCTACACATCCACACTCACACCCACCCACACCTACACCCGCACCCGCACCCACCCCACACCCACACACCCGCACCCACTCCACACCTACACCCACACCCCCATAAATGTATTCATCAACAGTACATGTGTAAAAATGGTGATGTAAAAACACAACTCAAAATAAGCTTATTAATTCAAACAATGACATGAACATGAGTAAATCGATTATACTAAAAAAAGCAGCTAACCGAATATTTTGAAATAAAATTTGGCAGCTTGGAATTCTCACGTGGATATTCAACATGACTTTGTCTTTGTTTTCGAATGGAAAGAACAAACGACATCATTTTTTACGATGATTTTTATTGAATCGAAAAAAAAATAGAAGCAAAGCAATTAGATTCATAATTATTTTAGATAATTGTTTCTTCGACAGATAAAATTATTTATTTAGATTATTTCAATGGTGCATTAATATCAAAGACTTATTAGACTACATGAAATTTTCGTTTTTTCTCGTGATTTTTTCTTCGTCTAATTTTTTCTAATTCTTCACGCGTAGGATCAATATCAAAACAATATTTCAATATATCCATTATAACAATAAACATAGCAAAACTTATTATAACAAGTATTCCAAGATAAGTAAATGACGTCGAGACAATTTTATAAATAATAATTTTCGTGGATACTCCTTCACAATGACGACCATAATAGCTATCACCAAGACATTCACATGTATAATTTAATAATAATGGTCGACAAACACCATTGTTTTCACATGTTATATTATCACAAAAATTTATCATTGATTCACAATGTATGCCCTGCCAACCATCATTACATATACAATAAAATGTTGAATTTGATGTTTGATTATAAATACCTAAAAGAAAATAAGACTTATCTATGTTCTTGATAGTTCAACAATACGCTGTTTACCACGACCGAAACAAGTATCTGATTTATAAGGTCGATCATCAAATTCACAATCAGCACCATTAAAATCAGATGGACATAAACAATAGTAACCAAATTTTTTAGTCTGATCATCTATACATGATCCATTATTTTGACATGGTTCAGTCATGGCACATAAACTATTAGAAACATTGCAATAGATACCGATCATTGTTGAATCGTTACAAGGAGTTGGATAGAAAGCTTTTGATAATGGTTCACCTAACATGTGTAGAAAAGTAGAATTAAATTCAGAATAAAAATAATAAACTAACTCGTTGATGTTACAGCCAAATCTATCAAATAAATAGCACTTTATTTTGATTAGAAATAAATAGAGAAAATAAAATTACCATTAGTACTCTTGATTGAAGTAATTCTTTCATTTGTCTTTTCAGTTGTGACATCTAAAAGGAAAGAGAAATTATGACTTGTATAATTAAAAAGAGAAAATCAAACTAGTCTTGTTATACTTTTCTCGAGTTAGAAAGGAGACGGACGAAAAAAGATGTAAATATCAAGAGCACCATTTTGATTAATTCATCCTACTATTTTGGATTCAATTTCGATAATAAGTAGACAAGACGTATGAATTTTAATGCATTAATTCATTAATTAATTTAATGAGATGTAATTTCGATGTATTTATTAATCACTCTTATCCTTGAACAAATACTTTCATGGAAAAATCCAAATAATTAAACATGGTGTTGCTTATTTTATATCTTTTTTAAAAAGTTACAAAATCATATACGTATAATCGATAAAACCATTGATTACTTAAAACTTTTCCTAAACAAACTATTCTTCAGGTTCAGTTTTATGCTGATTTGAAACATTATATAAGTTTTGACTGCAGGTGGTA